GTTAAAAGAGAAATTTTATCACAAAATGATATCCATACTTACAAACTTAGTTAAAAGAGAAATTTTATCACAAAATGATATTCATACTTGTAAACTTAGTTAAAAGAGAAATTTTACCGCAAAATGATATCCAAACTAAATTGAAAGAGATACTGAAAGAAAAATTTTATCACAAAATGATATCCCCACACTTACAAACTTCGTTGAAAGAGAAATTTTTATCAGAAAATGATAAATCCATATTTACAAACTTAGTCGAAAGAAACGTTGAAAGAGAAATTTGACCAGAGAACGGCGATATCCATGCCTGTACAAACAAAGTAAAATTGGAGCTGAGCCGAATGGTTTGCAGGAGCCGCAGGTGGTATGGTACCAGGACCGGCGTCGGATTTGAGCAACGAGTCGAGCGGAGGCGGCGGGGGCGGCGGCGGCGGAGGCGGTGGTGGTGGTTACCCGGACTTTCCACCCTCGCCGGATTCGTGGCTCGGCGAACCGCCACCTCCGCACGCTCACCACCATTCCCACTACGGCACATAACCCGGCAAACTGACGCGTTGCCAAGCACCGTTCGGAAGAACGGACCGGCGCAAGGCGTTCACCTGACAGGACACGATCGAGAGGCCAATGTCGATAAGAAGACCGCCGTCGGATAATCAGCCTGTCCGTGTTCGTCATCGTCGTCGTCGTTCGTCGACAACCTCGCGACGTTCTCGAGCCGCCTCGATCCCAGGAGGATCTCGATGTTCGACGAGCGCATCGTCGACGAATCACCAGGAGCAACAGGAGGAGCGGGACTCGATCGAGATGCGTGCGACGATCGAGCACCGTCTCGAGCCAGGGAGATGTCGTTCCAGTCGTGCCGTTCTCTCCACCGTCCCCGCGGGTTTCCCATCATCCTCAGAATGATGCCACGCGTCACTGTAACATAAAAACTCGTTACACTCGTAACACGCGTAATGCACGCACGCACGCACGCACAACACGTGCATTCAATAGGTACGATTAATCTAAATATATTTATGTACAAGTTCCTCGTTTCCCGGTACTATGGAGTTTCATCTCGTCGAAATAAGAGAAATTACTAGAGGGTAGTTTAGACGTGTCGCCGAGGCCGGATGTCCACGCACGAACCGACGAGATCATCATCACGTGACATCTTCTTAACGAAGAACAAAACTCTTCTAAGCAAAAAAAGAAAAAAAAAAAAAAGAGAAAACACTCGTTTCGTTCGTGAGCATCGCGGGACACGTTTTTCTGTGGTATACCGCGCTTACCGTGAGGCTAGAAGTTTCAAGGTGTCAAGGTTTATTGTAAATAACTCAGATTAGATTCTATCGTGCTACAGTAAGAAAAGAAGGAGGCAGGGAAAAGGGGAAATGGATTGGCGTACTGCGATCTCTGCGGGAGCGACGCCGTCCGCGAAATGAAATTCAAAAAAGAATAGAAATGGCCTCCATGGATCTTTCGCATCGACGCTCGACAAATCGATTCGCCTGCTACGCCTTTGCGCGTAGTTAGGTGGGTGATCGCGCGAGACTTCTGTCTCCGTTATTTTTTTGTTAGAGGAAACCTATGTATGTGTGTGTACCGCGACATCGAACCTGTCGAGGAAACACAGACGACAAAAGTCGATGCCGATCGACCGTGTATGGTATAAACACTTGTGGTTTATACAGTTTTCAATAACGAGTATCGAATATCGAATATCCATTCTTGTACATACGAATTTAGCGCCGACAGGGAGTTGGCCAGCTTCGCGACCAAAATCAAAATCGCTCCACCTTGCCACAATCAGTCGACTTTAACCTCTTGCGCTGGAATGACGTGCCGCGCACGTCGAGAATTTTTTTGCCCCAAAACTGCAATATTTCCTCAGTTTTAAGTATATTTAAGTGTAATCCAGGCAAAACAAACGATAAGTTTATTAATTAATGATAAACTTTAATAATTTCTACCAGTGACATCATACCGACGAGTTCGAAAGAAAAAAAAAGCGACGAATTATTGGATACGGTTTGGTCACTCGTTATGGTCCGCGAACCAGTTACCAGCGCAAGGGGTTAAGCAGCGATTATCGTCGAGCGTCGCGAACGCCTTTACGAGTGGATTGATCCACAAAAGCGCGATTTTCCACTCGAGCGACAGCCAGGCGTGAATTACTGAATTATCAAAATTTCGTAATTTACCGCCAGAAGTAGTTTACTTTCGACCGGTGAATGATTGAAGAAAACTCGCAAGTCGAGAGACAGTTGTATCGTGAACGAAACATGTGATACACAAGAAGGACGTCCAGGCGTGACAACGTAAAAAAAAAAAGGAAAACAAACGTATCGCGAAGAAAACGTGTTTTACACATCGCGAAACGTAAGATGTTTCAACATATTTCCAGGTGTGATAAAAGAAAAAAAAAAAAACATCAACACCGATGGTTGTCTCTCGAGAGCAAGACCCGTTTTCGCGACTTATTAGACGATCGCTACTCGGTTTCACCAACGTAAACGAAATCGTCAAATAAACATGGCCGCCATTCGATCGAGCAGCAAAATCAAAGTTTGCTCTCGCGTGTTTGTTTATCGTTGGTGAAACCGAGCGTCAGTAGATTACACCTTTGACGTGTGCTCTCTCTGCGTCCCTTTTTTTTCCCCATCGATTCGCAGCCATTCGGAAAGTCATCTGTCTGCGGGATATTTCGATCGATCGACTGACTCCAATTTCAAACATACGAGTTCGTTCGTTCGTTCGCGCGGTTAACGCTTTACAGAGGGAACTGTAAAATAATTTTATCCGCACAAAAAGAAATATCGATATTTTCTATTAGATGCTAAAGGTGTACTAGACGTACAATTGGCAAGTTTGCTTTTGTTGCAAGTTATACTCACTGCGTACTTATACACTCCTCTCTGTCTCTGTGAAGTGGTAACGATTCGAAATAATCAAAGTTATAACAATGTCAATTGCACCCTCGTTCAACGCACACGCGTGCGAGACACGTACGTACGTATGTATGTCTCGCGACGGCATGCCTAGATACATAAATGATCGATAATCAAAAGCAACGGACTCAATTGATCGACTGTAACCTCCGACTGATGGCTAACTTTATTCGCATATACTGTAGTAATATGAGGCATATACGCGAGTCACGTGACAAGTCACGTGCCGAATCACGTGACGTGTATCTACAATTTACAACGTGCGAAATTCTGCATTTATAAGTTAATTTTTTTTTTTAATGTTTTCGTATGCCTCATATTATTCGAGAGATATAGTATATTTGAAACATAGCGCGTATCATTCGTCAAGGACCGATAAAAGAAACAAAAAAAAAGTATATCGTTGTAGAATTGTATATACGTCAATCCCGAAATCATTTTACCCGCGAAAATTCGATGAACTGGAATTTATTGGAAAGCTACAAAAGAAGAAAATATGGTGTATTAAATGTCGGGTAAATGAACTGAATGTTGTACAGTTACGAAAAATTGAACATACGCTCCTCAGCGGGTTTCGCAGATGAGAGAGAAAAAAAGAGAAAAGAAAAAGATTCGCGTGACTAGCGCAGTCATTCATAACTTCATCGACACGAGTTACTACGGATCTTTATATTATTATCTAGTCATCGAGTGATAATAAAAATTCTATCGTAATCTATACCACGTTGTACTGTGTTTTTCGTTCTCTTCTTCCGTACGTTTCTTCTTGGAGCTTCTTTGCTTGAAAATATTTATTTCTCAAGTTTACCTGTTCCGCTTGTAAAAAAAAAACTTTTGTTGGATCGAGGAGTACAAATGCTCGGTAGATTAGAAATCAATTTTCGTTTCAATCTCAACAAGTTCTTCCACTTTTGTTTTCAAATTGTCAATGGCACTTTATTTGCGAATACTATGTACAGATGCTGTTTGTGTGTAATGACATTCTCGATATATTTGTATGTATGTACATGCGCGCGAATTTCTGGACGTCGAGAATTGCGACAAAAATGGACAGTTTTTGATTCGATGACAAGGTTACAGCAACCTTCAAAGAGGAGAAACAATCTACAAAAGAACTCAAATACACATACACAATACGTATATACAAAACTCACATACAGAGCTTCGTTTTCTTCTTCTTTTCTTTTTTCTTTTTCGAAACGAAGTTTTCTTTCCTTCTTTCTTTTTCTTATCGTTATTTAGTCTCATTTAATCGTATTAATTCTTCCTCCCCCTTCCCCCATTTCGTCGTGCAACGTTTCATGAATGTACGAAAATACTTTCTAATAGTTTCTTTTTTTTTTTTGTACAATATACAACAACAACAACGTTCGCTGCCGCTCATTAATTTGTATAAAATACAATTCTCGTTCGTTGCTCAGGATTTAAAATGAATCGAAAAAACTTGCGCGTGAAAGACAAATATAATAGTAAAAACGCGATTGTTAAAAAATGAACGCGTAACACGTCAATTTCTTTTTTTTTTTCTTCTTTTTAAAAATTCACAACGAACAGCGACTTTATCTGTTTGATTACTTTTTCTCTCTGTAAGTGATACTTTGATTCAGTTCAGTTCAGTTCAGTTCAGTTCAGTTGTCCAACGGTTCTTCGTACGTCCTCGTTTTCTTTAATATGCTCTTGGTGATTTGCAACTGTTTCGTTATCGCCTTCTCGACGTTCTTCTTGTTTTTATTCGACGCGGAAAGATGTTGGAAAGTATCCTCCAGTGCCTTTCTCGTTTTCATCAACTTCCTCCTCAGCGTTTCGTTCTCCTGCTTCAAAGCTTCTACTTCGTCGAGACCTAAGAATCAGTTACAGCTTATGAAAATTAATAATTTACTGAATTTAATGAATTAGTACGACAATTTATCAACTGATTCACGGTAACTTTCAAATTAGATCGCAAAGACGAAAGGAAGACAACTTTTTCAATGTTATTCCTTACCTTCCATCGGCAATGGGCTTTCGCTGTCGATTTCTCGCGCCGGTCTGTTACCATTGCTGTTGTTATCCTCGTCGCTCAATAGATTAGTCATGGACTCGGTGATCTTCAATGTGTCTTGCAGCGGCCTCATGGTTGTGATAGCCGCGTCGCTTTCGATCCCCAAGTCCGGCGAACAGCTCGATTTACTGCGTCCGCCGACCGTTGAGTAGCTTATGGGTAGCCAGTACTGCGAGTTCTAAAATAAATTGGAATCCATCAGAGTCCAGAATTGGACGAGGAAATAAAAGCAAAAGACTTGACAAAATTGACAAATTGTACATTGTACGCTTGATATTCTTGCATAATGTCTTCGCAAGTTTGCTTCAGCATAGTCTCCGCCGGTATCGAAGAAACGCCGCTGGAGCTTGGCGCTGAGTCGCTCGCCTCGCAAACCGCGACGTGCCTTCGTAGCTCTTTGTTCGTCACCTCCAGCTCTTGCAATCTTGCTCTCTGCGACTCGTTGACTTGATTCAAATCCGATATCTATGATAAAAAGAACGCGCGAGCGTGTCCGTTGAAACAACTTTCGCTACGATTTAGCGAAAGTGGTAACAAAAAATGTAACGAAAAACGAGACACAACCATTGATCTTACTTCTTTGGTAAATTTGTCGTGCATCGAGCGAACGGTCATCTCGCATCTGCTCTCCATTTTACGGATTTCTTGCTCCAGGCGTAGCTTGTCGTTCGTCAGCTTTGTATTCTCCACGAGGATCTGACTGTGCGAGAGGGTCAAGTGGTCCAGGTCCTTCGTCAACGCCGATATACTCGCTTTCGCCGACTCGTTCTCATCCTCAAGCTTCTTGACTCGTGTCCTCAGCTGCAAATCATTCGGAGAAGACAGTTTCGGAGCGTTCAGTTTGAGAGAAGCAATTATCCTACTGTGAATATCTCTTAAAATTGCAAAGATTCAATTGCTGAGATTCATTACCGCGTCGTTTTCCCTGTTGAGCGATATCAGCATTTCCGTGGCTTTTCTCTCGGCGTTGTCCTTGCAGTGCATCAGCTCAGTCTTCTGTTTGTTCATTTCTGTCGCCATGCTCTCCAATTCGGCCAGTTTCTTTTCCAACTGCGTCCTGCGAGCACCGTTCTGCTTGCTTTCTTTCCTCAGTGTGTGCACCTCGTGCACTCGCCTCTCCAACGCCGACTGCAATTTCTCGCAGTGTTTCTGCGACTTCTCCAATTTGGCCATCAACGGCGATATTTTCTCGTCGAATATCTATAGAGTTCCCAAAATTATCAGTCAAAACCAAGATCGTCGTGTCACTTGCAATGCAGTTGATTTTTTTTTTTTTTTTTGGTTAGTAGCATTACTTATTGGTAAATCAGACTTACACAGTCGAAAGAAATTGTGGCAGCAAACTCGTCCCGAAGGGCGCCGAGCTCCGTGTACAGCGAGGCGTTTGTTTCTTTCAGCTCTTGTATCTGGTGACTGGCCTCGGAATCGTTCAGGTCGTTCTGATAAGACTTGTAGTAAGGCACGTACTCCAACGAGTCCTCGGAGTCGGTGAACGTCTTGGTGTACTTGGTGAATCTCGACCGGCTCAGTGACTTCTGCTGCGTTTCCTGTAACCCGATTCTAGCCATGGAGACGGTCCTGTCCGGCTCGGAGAATGCCTCGGAGTCTGACTGCGTGGACGCCTGATTCCTCGCGACGCTGAGCAGATTCTCCGAGCGGCTCTTCTTCACCGTGTTGTTGCCGTCCGTCAATTTCACGCTCGCCGCCTCGTCGGCGTTGACCGCCCGGTCGCTCGCCGTCGAAATCCCCTCGAGCGCGTTCACAAAGTCGTCGGACAGTATCTTCGAGTTGATCAAAACGTCGAGCACGGTGGTCTTCCTGTGCCCGTTACCGACGCCGTTCCCGTCGTGGTCAGCGTTCTTCAACATCTGCTTCATGAACTTGACCAAATCCTTCAAGTGCGTGCGCATCAACTCGCAGTATTTCTTCGCTCTCTCCGTCTGATTGTCGCCGTATCCGTCGATCTCGCTCGCGATGTCCGGCCTCGAGACCAACTTCAGCCATTTGAGATAATCGACTTCCTTCTCCAGCTCGTTCCTCTGGGCCACCAGCTTCTGCACGTAGCCGGTCATGGTTTTCACGTCTATCGGCTCGTTACCGTCCACGTAGTTCAGCTGCACCACCTCGTTGGTGAACGTCACCTTGATACCGATGTCGTTCAGCTCTTTGATCAGGGCCGACAGTTGCGCGCTGGCGCTCTCCTGCGTCACGTCCGGCTTGCCTCGGCCCTTCTCGTGGCCGTGAGTGGTGGCGGTCATGTGGTTGTGAAGCTTGGCGATCTCCTTGTTCTTGCTCCACAGCTCCGTGTTCACCAGCTTCTGCAGATTCTGCGTCTTCACCTGCAGCTCCTTCGACAGCTGCTCGATCTTGCGGTTCTTCTCCTCGAGCTCGGCGTCCTGGTGCCGGAGCCTCCGGAGAAGATCCTCCCGCTCGCTCGAATACTCTATGCCGTCCTTCTCCAACGTCGCTGTCAGCTGGTCGAGCTCGTTCGCCTTGTCCTGCAGCTGCTTCCTCATCGTTTGCCTCTCGATCTCGAGAACCTCCAGCTTCTGGTCCCTGTCCTGGAGCCGCTCTTTCAATTCCTAAAATTCCATTCGATTCCGTTGCGAAGTCAAACGAGCGTGACTGTATATCTTTGAACTTCGGAGTTTCGAAAACAAATTTCCGATCGTAATTGGTGATTTCGGAGAGAACGAAGAGAGCAATCAATCGGTGAAAATACGAAATTTTTCTAACTGTAAATGATTTTTAACGATTTCTAACTGTGATTTTTATAAAAATTCGCCAATTGGAATATTAACATTTTTAAATAACTTTATATATAAAAATTCAGAGGCTAAAATATTGCTCCGCAATTTTTAATTTTGCGTCTATGTAACCAAAATATTGCTGTCTATCTTACAGTAAGCGCGTCTGAAATACTATAGACGAAATAATTAATAATTTCTTTCCTCTTGAAATTCGTCAATCCATCGCGATATAATGCTCGACATCTTTTCTCTCTGTGCCAGCTCGCTTTCGAAAAAACAAGTTTCATCAAGGTTAAGACAGAAAATTACCTCCGACTCGGTTTCGATCTGCTTCTCCAAACGATTCTTCTCGGCCTTGATAGCCTCTATTTGATCTCGCAGGTCGTTTATCTTGGCTTCCATTTCGTCGAATCGTTGCTGCACATATAAAGTATAATTGTTCTCGTCAATAAAACTCGGAAACAAATCGGTTCGAACGGATCGACAAGCTTTATTTGCAAGAAGATAACTGGCGATTACAAAGATGGGTGTGTACAAGGGTACAAAAATGATACGCGTGCGTTTTGCTCGAGCGAGGAGGGCAGAGAGCTTTTTCTCGCGTTTTCTTTTTTATACAGAATCTCGTGGATGGATAACTGAGAGCGGAAAAGTGGAGCAAATTCAACACATTTACACGTTAATTTAACATTGCGCAGAGAACGCTCTCGTTTCGTGACAAGGGTATTTAAAGTCTCGGTTTCCTTGACCAACTGCGCGGCGAGACAAGGGTAACGATATCTGGCTCCTAAAAAGGGACAAAAGAATAAATCTAATTTGTAGATTGTTTGATCTAATAGAGTAGGTTAGAGTAGGTGACTAAGTAGATTTGATCTAATTTGTTTTTACTTAGCTTTAGCCTTAACTTCTTGCGCCGAAATGAATGTGCCACGCACGTCGAGAATATTTCGCCCAAAATATTTTCTTAGTTTTAAGTATAACGAACAAATAATAAATTTATTGCTTCTCGGTCATTTCTATCCAGTGATATGCCGATGAATTCAAAAAGAAGACGAGTTATTGTACACGGTTTGGTCACTCGTTATGGTCCGCGAATCAGTTACCAACGCAAGAGGTTAACCACTTGCGCTGCCAACTGATTGCGGACCATAACGAGTGACCAAAACCGTATACAATAGTTCGTCGCTTTCTTTCTGAACTCATCGGTACGATATCACTGGACAGAAATTATCGATAAGTAATAAATTTATTATTTACTTTGCCTGGGTTATACTTAAATATACTTGAAACTGAGAAAATATTACAATTTTGGAACAAAAATATTGTCGACGTGCGTGGCACGTCATTCCAGCGCAAGAGGTTAACCACTTGCGCTGGCAACTGATTGCGGACCATAACGAGTGACCNAAAATCGTACACAACAATAATTCGTCGCTTTCTTTCTGAACTCATCGGTACGATATCACTGGATAGAAATTATTGAGAAGTAACAAATTTATTATTTGTTTTGCCTGTTTTGTTTTACTTAAATATACTTGAAACTGAGAGAATTTTGAAACAAAAATATTGTCGACGTGAGTGGCACGTCATTCCAGCGCAAGAGGTTAAGACTTCTTTCTCTCTTTTTCTATTTTTTTTTTTTTCTTCTTTTTCGTCGACTCTGATAACTTTCTAACAACTTGCAACTTTTTTTAACTTTCTTTTTCTTTTCAATCAAAATTCTGATTAACTTGCAATTTTAAGTTTACATCGTACCGCTCTCTTACTTTCATTTAGCATTAGTATTTAGCATAGTATGGTTATTTTTATTTAGTACAGTGTCACGCAGCTATTTTCACAGAATATTTCGCGAGTGAGAAATGAAGAGGAAATGTTAATGTTAAAGGATGAAGAGTTGATAATTGGCCAGCTAAGAAGCTTGAAATAAAACAGATCGATTAACCAACGTCAACGAATCATCGATTCATTTCAATACATCGAGTATCAATTGTCATAATCGGCCGAACTTGAACAGCGTCAATGTGTTTATTCATTCGTTTGCTACTTATTTTTTAATCATTCGTTTACTTCGTTTAGTTTCGTTTATTGATAGTCGTTTGTTATACTTCGTCTTGCTGTAACGTGAAACGAAGCAGAAAGACGACACTATACTCTCTTTTGTTACATCCACCTACCTCCATTCTCACCGAGGCGCACAAACAGGAGAACATCTTTTTTTTTTTTTTTTTAATCGTCTACCAAAAATTCGTTCGATTCGATCAGCCCTTGGAACGGATATTCGACGCGAATGCTAACGATTATTTCTAGCACTGGGGAATATCCGTGACCGGTGAAAAAAAAAAGGGGGGAGAGACACGCGAGGAGGCGAGACGATATTCGTGTTTCTTCCCTTTCGAGCAATCTCAGATCTTAGGGAAAATATCCCAAGTAAAAAAATCGTCGCTTTTCTTTTTATTCGTTCGCTAAAGTAAACAGGAGAGAGAGAAAAAAAAAATAAAAAATAAACTCGCGTATATATCCTTCTACTCGATCGAGAGTCGTTTCTCTTTTTTTTTTTTTTTTTTCTTCGCGCGTTCTTTTCGATTCGTTTCGCTCTCAAAGACTTCTTTCAAAGACTTCTTTCGGACTTCCAAAGAAACGAGTTCGTTTCTAACGAGAGTGTTATATTCGAGATCGATCGCGTTCACGAAGTCGTTTTTTCTTAATTTTAATTGTCGTTCGTCGGCGGAGGGAACACCGCACCGTTGGTTCGAGACGAATTTTCGTGCGAGGACTGCCGGCTAAAGCGGCGGATCGCGCTGGCCTCCTCTCTCTCTCTCTCTCTCTCTCTCTCTCCCGCGAGCAGACTGTCTCTCTATTATTAGACGAAAGGCACGTTCTTCCGTTTGGCGGTTCAAAGACACCACCGCGGCCTCGCCGGGACGCCCGGTTTCCACACACGAAAATCACATCGACGATCGCGCCTGCAACTCGCTGTTTCACGCTCCACCACCGACACACGATCGCCAATTCCCGCTTGTTCGACGTGGAATTCGCGCGTGGGACGTCGCTATCACTCGGTGAGCTCTGAATTGGGCCACCGCGAACCCTTTTTGCAGCCGGTAGTTCTCGCTTAACGAGTAATTTTGTCATTCATCTCTGAATCGAACCACGAAACGAGACGACCAACTACTACTTTGGCTTGAATGATGAAGTCGGAACGGAACTTAAAGAAGCAAACGAGGCCTCGAGACGGGTCTAAATTCGGCCGGTGACTTTTAAAAGGTGACTGACTTCGATAATTTGAATTTAGAAATTTCGTAGAGTCGTTCGTTTGTTCTTAATGCTTGTTAACACCTTGTCACGCCGTTTGGCGTCAAATCGAATACTGTTATCCGTTACGGTAGACGCAGTTAGGCGTCATGTGATGTACGTGTAGATATTGTAAAGTCCCAACAATTAGAAGATTGTTTTAATTACTGTCATATTGAACAAAATTATTGATTTCTCAATATTAAATTTGTGTATAATTTTATATGGACTAAATTTTTATTTCTGCGATTATATCGTGAAATATATATATATAATTATAATTTATCTTTATTTAATAGAAACACTTGTTACTTGAAACTAACAAAAATAAAAAATTTTATTTAAATTTCATGAAAAATAAAACAAATTTCGTTTAAATTATATATTATTTTTATTTATTTAAATTATATTAATTTTACTTTAACATATGTATATAAATTCTATTTAAATTTATATAAAAATTAATAATAAAATATATAAATTTTATTTAAAATATATATATATATATATATATATATATATATATATATATATATATACGTGTTTCATTTTTCATAAAATTTAAATAGAATTTTTTATTTTTCTTAGTTACAAGTAAAAATGTTTATTTTTCTATCAAATAAAGATAAATCATATATTTTCTTCTCTGTATTGTTATTAAATAAACAATCTCGGTAAGGTTGTTTATTTAATAGAAAAATAAACACTTGTTATATACTTGAAACTAATAAAAATAGAACAAATTTTATTTAAATTATATATTTTATTTATTTAAATTATATTAATTTTACTTTAACATATGTATATAAATTCTATTTGAATTTATATAAAAATTAATAATAAAATATATAAATTTTATTTAAAAAATATATATATATATACGTGTTTCATTTTTCATAAAATTTAAATAGAATTTTTTATTTTTCTTAGTTACAAGTAAAAATGTTTATTTTTCTATCAAATAAAGATAATCATATATTTTCTTCTCTGTATCGTTATGACTCCTCAGTAAGGTTGTTAATGCTCACTATCGGTTTGTTGTATTTTGGAGACTGTAAAGACGCTAGATTAGAGTGAATGTCGGAATTACTTTCAATAAATTTTTCGCAACTGTTGACATTGCTTTACTTCATCGCTCTACGTGTACGAAAAAAATACCATAGGAACGAACTTGGAGATAAAATTGGATTCTGAAATCCCTTGGTTGGAGGAACTGGAACCTTGGGCCGTAGCCTAATTAAACTATATATAGATTCGCTCGTAGATCGAATTCGGGACAGATAACGAGAAAAACGGCGAATCTTTCGAGAATCGAAACTAAAATTAAGCAATTAGACAATTCAATAAACGTAAAATGAACAATCGATTTATTTGTTAAGAGCTTGTGACAACAGATTGTGGCTCATTCAAGTTAAAAATACGCGAATTTCTTAAATAATTTTCGTTCGATTTCACATTCGAATAGTCGTATCATGCATAATTCGTTCGTTCGTTTATAGACTCGAAACGTATGTTAGTATGTTAGTATGTGAATAGTCAGCTAAATTGTTGCCAGAGAGATATAAAAAAAATTATACAAAAAGATCTCTTCATCTTCGAACGTACGTGACCGTGTAAAATACATAAAATATTTCGTTTGCTTATTCCTTCGCATTAATAACGCGTACATAAATTAAACGTATGCTTTCACACATGCCGTGCATTAACGCTACAAATTCGTGCAAAAAATGTACACATGCAACGAGAAAGAGGCAACAACAAATTACTTTTCTTCCTAACAAAAAGTATTAAAAAAAAAAGATCTGTAACTTGTATTGAACTGGAGAAGTAAAACTCAATAAAAAAAAAATTAAATTAGAAATTAGGTAAAGGAAACGAGTAGGAAACACTTTCGACACGGAGGAGTCTCAAACTTTAAAACTCGTGTCACAGATCTGAGAAAAAGCTTTTCTTTCCTTATTTTCTTTTTGAACTGCTAGATACTTCATACTTGTGCTCGCAATTTATCAAAAGGTGTAATGAACAGTGCCCCAAAGTGCGATAAGTGAGAGTCATGCAGTGAGAGTGATGATGGCGATAGAGAGCAGAAAAGGAGAAGTAGAAGTAGATGTTAGGTGAGTTCAATGTCTCTGAAAGAAAGAGAAACGTTTGATAACCCTAAATCATCCTGCGATTAATCCCGTTTCCCTTCGTTTCACAAGCGGGACGCATTGCAAATCCAAAGCGTTGTCTCCACGTTTCCGTACAGTCACACCGGACATCTATCCATCCCCCTGTTACAATATATTTCTATATGATAGAAATTCAATTTCTTTCGTTCATTCTCTTCATGTTAAACAGCTACAAAAGTATGGAAAAATCTCGAGACAACGCCACCGAGTTTCAGGCCGAAGCCGCAGATTTTCAGCAGCACGTGATTCCTCAGAAACGCGGAGACAGGCATGCAGAGACGAAAAATCATGATCTCGACCTGATTATTGCTGGCGTCACGTTCTGGATCGTCCGTCATGTTGCTGCTGACGTCTCTTCCAGCCGGCTGACTCTGTCCTCCATCCCTCGTTGTTCCTCTCATGCTCTCGTGCTCGCGCAGCCTGCTCAGCTCGATCTCCAGCTCCATGATCTTCTGGTCTTTCCTCATTTTCACGGTTTCCAGTTGCTGCTGCCTCTCCATGAAACCTTGAATAGTCTTAAGCGCCTTCTCGTGCTCACTTTCCAGCTTCTGCAGCTTGTGACTCATCGTCTCGGCGTGTTTCTGCATGTTGCACAGCTTCAACACCAGCTGCTTCCTCGATTCCTCTTGATACTTCAGCTCGGCGTCTTTTTCTTCCAGTTCCTAAGTCAAGAAACAAATCAAAAGTTTCAAAATTCCATTAACAGGATTGACGAGTGTCTCGGTAAAGAATGTTTCTGCGAACTTTGATCAAATCTCTCACGTCTTTCACCTCTCCGCTGAGAGCTTTCTTCCCTCTCGTTGACCTCTCTCGATTTGGTTCCCAATCGAGGCAAGTGTTCCCTCTCTTCGTCGTCCCCTGTCCACAGGTCATCTTCTGTCCCATTCTCGTTTGCAAGGGATCTTCGATTGGATTCATAGCCGACGGACTGCTAGGGGGTGATCTTCTAGAGTAACCATTCTCGAACTGCAACGTGTTTAATAAACACGAAAATACCATTTTTAAAAAAACGACTCACAGAAAAATAAGAATATGATGTACTGTACTTGAAAGTACAATTAGCTGTTCAAACTGCTCAACTCAACTCAACTCAAGTGTTCAAAAGACTCGACTCCACTATGATTTCTCTGTAACTCATTCTGTTTTTATGTCTTCACAATTCTCATTCTTACCGGGCCCCAATGTGATTGGGATTTTTCTCAATATTTAGATTTCTCCAGCTACCTGATATATCCTTGATCTTTCTGGCCATAATCTCAACCCTTTGCACTCCAACTGTTTCTAAAGTATATCTTTACAACAACTGTAACATTTTTGGCTTCTTATATCTATCTAGTATCTAGTGAATTATTTATTTGAAAGTAAAAATTATAAGTATGAGTTCTTGAACAGTTTTATTCGAAATGTTGAATTACTGTTTATTATAAATAATCCTGTGTGTAATAAATTTGTTGCCAGGTGTTAAACAGACAATTTTCACTAGGTATAACATTACTTTCATATCTCACTATCACTGGAATCAATAAATTGAAATCTTCTTGCTTTTTTATGTTTTATGGTAAGAATAATATATCACTATTCTCAGACTCAATGCTTGATGTCTCAAAACACTATCTAAACACTACTACTCTTCAAGTAACTCGCTTCCTATGATATTTTTTGATACAATGCATAACAGTATTTTCATAACATGTAATCAAATAAAATTTATTAACAATATAAAACTACATCATCAAATATTGTCCCTGGAGTGCAAAGGATTAATAAAATTGAATAAAACTAAACTAAATTTAAACCCACGACTAGCTTCGGATACTGCAGTAACATGTATAATACTTCTTGTAGCAGCTACAATGAAAAATCGACATAGAAGGTTGAAAGAATAATTTTTTGTTCAGCGTGACAATCACCTGAGAGAGCAGGGCACGATGCTTATTGTTCAACTCGGTGAGAGCATCGTCCCTGGTTTTTATAGACGCCCTTAACTGATCGACTTGCTTTTTCCTCTTCTCTGAAACGGCGTTTGACTCCTCGTACAGCCGACACCTCTCCTCTAATTGTGCGTTTCTCTCCTTGATGACTCTCTCTTTCTCGAGTAGCTCGTTCCTACACTGCTGAACAACAGTGTCCCTTTTCAGCAGCTGTTCCTCCAGCTCCTTCACCTTCTCCCGCAGCGACTCGATGTCCTGCAGCCTCTCCGCGTCCAAGTTTTCCCTCAAGCGCGTCTCCGCCTCCAAACGTTCCCTGAACTCGTCCCGTTCGCTCTCGAGCTCCTGCGCCCAGACGCGCTCCTCGTCCAAGCTGCTCGTCACCTGCTTCACCTGCGTTCCATCATTTGATTGAAATTCAAACACATTCGAGATAGGGCCGAATGTGTATTTTTCTGTTATACAGGGTGGCCATTGAAAAACTGAAGGGTTGTTGTTTTTCATCACACATAATACTGAGAGAAATCCATTAATTATATTTCCAAATGAAATAATAAAAAAATGAAAAAAACACATGTGTTTGTAAAAATTATTTTTGCTTTATGCCAGTCTTTCAACACATGTTTTCTTAATTTTTTTATTGTTTTATCTTGAAAATGTAATTAATAGATTTTTTTCAGTATCATATGTATTTTTAATAAAAGAAAATAAAAAAGATTGGAAATGAACAAGTTTTGACTTTTTCAAACCCTTCAGTTTTTCAGTGTCCTCTATACAAATTACAGTTTCTGTATTTACAGTGTACTTTTTTTTATATTAAAAAAAAAGGTTTTTGTTTTTACTTATATTTTATTTTATTTTTTATCATTTATTATATTAAAAATCTGATCCTCGTATCGAAACATTGAAACAAACAAAAAGGAGATTTTACGATAAAAATTAATTCTCAGAGAGGAATGAAAAAATAACCTTCGAAATATCCAACTTTCAACAGACTTTTAATTAAATTACTATGTACACATGCGCTAAACTCTTGTAGATTATTATCCAAGATTAATAATCTTTTGATACTCTGAGAATTTCGTCGAAAAAAAATGTCGACGTGTAAGAAATACAAATGATACTGACGAATTTTCCCCGAGTTACACGATAAGGCTCGCTTATCGAGTCCGCATTCTTTTCGTAGCCGAAGGAAGTGGACAGAGATAACATATAGGTGATAAATAGAACAGACAGAGGGAAAATAAATAGAACGGACGGAGAATTTGCTTATCAATTGCTCCGAGCAACGACATCTCTTCAACATCTCAAAAGTAAAATCAAATCGAGGGAAACATAATATTGAATCTCGCTCTTGAGGAATAAATTTTCTTCGATATTCATTCGAGAAAGGTTGAAATAGAAATTTAAAGAAGTTCGCTCTCTCTTCCTTCTCTAACTTCCCTTTCACTTATGTACTTTTTTTTTATATGTTACAAATCAGACACAGACAAGTCTTATTTGCAAGAAATCGAAGAGATAAGAATTCAATTTGTTTGTACAAGAGTCGTTACTTCCGCGTGTTGTCTCCTGGTACTGTCTTACCTCGGCTTCTAGAGATGCAACGAGTTCTTCCATTTTACGTAATTTCTCCTCATTCTCCAGCGCCTTTTCTGGCGTGATGCCGAAAGCTTGTTTATAGTAGATCGACGCATCTGCCACTTTATCTTGGTACTCTGCTAACTCTGTCGCAACAGATATATATTAGTACTTAACTTCAGTATTAATATATTATATATATAATGTATATTATATTATATTGTGTATTATGTATATTATATTATATTGTGTATATTATATATATTATGTATATTATATAAATTATGTACAATTAGTGATTAATAAAATTAACTACTTAAAATTATATTTTAATGGCAACGATTCGACGATTTATGAACGTATGCGATACCAAGTAGGTTTATAAATAGCTCGTAGAGTTAGTTGAACAAAAGATATCTTCAAAAAAAAATTTGAACGTTTCTTGACTAATGCAAAGAAACAACGAAAGTTCCAAAATATATATGAAGATACAGATAATATATATATATACAGTGTGTATGTTGTTAGAAAAATTACATACAGAAATTCAATAGAAGAAATTCTTCTAATTGTTCGCTGATAAAGAAAAAAAAAAAACAATACGTAGAGTTTCTTTAATTAATATTAATATGAATAATAAATAAAACGATATGAAAAAAAAAGAGAAAGGAAAATTATGTAGAGTTTCTTTGATTACTTACTCGAAGTGTGTTCGTTTAATTATGACAACGACGTGGTTACATACCTTTCTCCAGTTTTCGAATTTTTTCTCGTTCATTTTCAAGCGATTTCTGATACTGAGCCTGATTCCGCGAAGAAGCTTCTTTCTGCTCCTCGATCAATTCGAACGCCTTGGCTGCCTGACTGAGGAGCTCTTGTTTCTCGATCAACTCTTTCCTCAGTGATTCAATTTCAACCTGTCGTTATAATAAAAAATAAATAAATATGCATATAATACAATATATATATATATATTACAATATATATAATACAAAAAAATAAATTTATATATAATACAAAAATATATATATATATGTATATGTTACAATATATATAATACAAAAAGAATAAATAAATAAATTTACATATAATACAAAAATATATATATTATAATATATATAATACAAAAAAATATATATTACAATATACAATACAAAAAAAATAAATAAATTTACATATAATACAAAAATATATATATATATATTACAATATATATAATACAAAAAAAATAAATAAATAAATTTACATATAATACAAAAAAATATATATACATTATAATATAGAATACAAAAAAATAAATAAATCAATTTTTGAATAAAAATAAATAAATTTTAAATAAAAATAAATAAATAAATATTTAAATATAAATTTTTAAATAAAAATAAATTTTTTATACGCTACGAACGGTTACCTTTAGTTCAATATTCTTTTTGATCGCATTTTCATCCGCCGACGAAATTCCCATTCGCTCCTCGAGAAAGTAGATCCGCAATTTAAGGTTGAAGTTCTCCTTTTTAAGAGCCTCCAATTGGTCCTCGTACTCTTTCATCGTTCTACCAACACCAGCGCCATCCCTGGCCCCGATCACCCCCGTTGGGGACGTTTTCCCAGGCGATCTCGCGTTTACGCCTGAAACAAGCAAAGTCAAAGGAAATCCATTCAAAATTCGTTCGAGTTTCGAAGAAAATTCAAATTCCATCCGGAGACAAGTCGATTTGTAAGTATGATGCAAATTACTCGAAACAATCGACGTACAATATATGCACGAAGAATTATTCGCGTTGTTAAATTGTATTCGAAATCGGTTCAATTCAATTTCTCTGGACGGCTGATCTGCTTAATTAGAGCTATCTAGATCGGCGTAACATCGAACGTGACTGTCGTTTATGGTTCAATTGATTGAATAAGTCATGCACAGGCGGTCGAATTCGAAATAACGCGAGAAATCTATTTTGAGGAAATAATTCATCATCGCGATTTCATTTACTTAATTAATCGAGATTAATTATTTAATTATTAATAGAAATTTGATAGTATTTAATATTTATTTTGTTATTTATTTGATTATTAATAAACTTGTTTAATTAGAATTATTTTAACAGAACCATTTTATTTAAAATTCTTTCCTCCTGCAGTATTCCACAGTCAAATCAGAAACTTTGAACGATAAAGGATATTTTACTTGAACGTCAGAGCTAGTTTTCAAATTGGGATCTTTATCTGAAATTTCTTTTGCAGAAATGAGATCATCGTCCGCTCACGAAAGCTCTCTTACTTTCCATATTTATAACAGGGCGGCTATCATTAACCCAGGTGAGATGTACCGGTCAATAAGGAAGCTTCCTTTAAGTCATTTCTAAACGACAATTTTTTTTTACGAACGTCCAACGTCTCTAACACTGACAGATTTCTTGTCGTCCACGTTAAACGAATCCAGTCACAGAAACGAGGAACGCGATTGCATCGATCCGGTTACGTCCTTGCCCTTGAACATTTACGTGCCGAACATGAGTACCCAAATTTTGTCGCGATTTTGTCACGTTCACGGCTGTGACAGCTGGTAACCGAGCTCTCTAACCTCGTATCCCCTGACATACGATCGTAGATAAAAGACGAGCGACGGCGTTACCGACATTACCGACGTTATACCGACGTTATACCGACGTTTACCGACGCGACTGATCGAAATTGCGTTCGAGATTGCTTTTTATACAGGGTGGCCACTGAAGAGGTTTGAAAAAATCGTATCTTGTTCGTTTTCAATCTTTCTTATCTTCTTTTTTTGTAGGTTATAGAACGTCTCTTTAAAGATTAACTAATCAATTATTATTAATTAATCCATTAATTATATTTTCAAATAAAATCATAAAAAATTTAAAAAAACGTGTTTGTAAAGGTTATTTTTGTTTTATATCATTCAGCCTTTCAGTGACCATCCTTGTACAAGCGAAACACGAAATTTACAACAATTCTTCTACTTCTCGAGTACGAAGATATATATATATATAGTAAATAGCATAACTATTTTAATGACATGAAAAATTCGATAAATTGTCGATAATTGAAACTAATGTAGCTTTGAGTGAAGAGAGATTGTATAACGGTCCATCCTTGATCTCATTTTAAAGCGTGAAGTTTCTTCTTTGGCAGTGAGCTTCTTTTTTTTTTCTTTTTTAAAGATAATAAATAGAAATATAATTTTAATATTAATTAAAATAGAAATAGATAATAAATAGAAATATAATTTTAATATTAATTGTATTGTATATAATATTAATATTAATTGTACTGATATTATAATACGTATTGATACCTATAATTGTATTGATATTAATAGAAATGTAATTTGTATAAATTTGTATTATAATTAAATGACAATATAATTGGTCAAGGCTTTAATTCTCTTAAATGAAATTTAACAGGAAAACTCTCTTTTCATTTAAATATCAATCTAACATTAATTAGATTAAAGTTAATAAATATAAAATTAAGGAAATTGATATTAATAATGAATTTTGAATAAAAATTACAAAAGGGTAAAGTTAATGTGCAATTTATTATCAATTGAATTGTAAAAGTTCGAAACTCGTGCGGAAATATTAGAAGAGCTTTTCCATGACTAAAATCAATCATAGTTTCGAAGATTGAAATTTTTTCTTTCACAACGACCGCTCGTAACTCACTGTGCGACTTTCTTTTATTCAACTTTGAATCAAACGACGACACGTTGCGACTTCTCGAGTCTCTGATATTCAAAAGTTCAACTAAAAACGGCGAAAGAAAGTCCTACAAACAAGGAAGACTTCAATCTTCAGAACGATGGTAAATCCCACTTACGAAAAAGATTTTTTACGCACAATCTCCAGAAAAAGAAGTATCCTCACTTTTAACATTTATTACACGACATTTGCTACAAGCGTACGCGCTTGCCACTTAACGTGCTTCAAATACAATGAAAAAGGAGAGGAATTTCGATCGACAGCTATTCCGATCGTTTTAACAGAAATAGAAAACAACGATCGGCGGCTATTCCGATCGTTTTGATAGGAATAAAAACGCCGTGTGCCTGGAAGGCATTCCTTCGGGAGCCAGTTAACAAAAGAGACAAAGAATTTCGCGGGCACGGCGATTTGACGAACGCGCCGAACTAAAGATAAGCCGAGGAGAGAGCTTGGTGATCAGCTCCCTTTTAAGAGCAGGATCGCCGCGAGATCGGTGACTAACGTTCGGCCTGGCTCTTCTCTCGCCGAGAGAGAATCGGCTCGTTTTTCTCCGGGTGCGCTTGTTGCAATGATTGAACGTTGAATCGTGTCCTATTCTCGAATTCATTCGAACTACGTGACTGATGCCAATTTCGCAGATGCTATACGGGCGCCGCGGTCTTGCTGCTCCCTTTTCCATCTTTTTGGCGCGTCACCAAGCGCCGTTGGTTAAATCTTTCGATGCCTCGCGCATTTTTACATCCCCCCCCCCCCTCCCCGATTCTCCTTTCTTCTTTTGTCCTCGAAATTACAGAGCTTTCTGCGATTGATTGCGAGAGTGAGCCACTACAACGACGTTTAGCAGCTGAAAGTATTTAAGGGGGGCGAACGATGACCGAAATATAAATATATTCGATAAATTCGACAAACGGTTTGACAAACCGGTGCCGGTTTAAGGTGGCCAGGACAGTTTGACGATTAGGGCCTAAAGATTACGAATACTTTGGAGGGCTGGTAAAAAGAAACAAAAGTACATGTTTGATTGACATGAGCTTTCGTGGTTTATTTCAACACATTATGAACCATAAAAAAACAACGTTAAAAGAGAAAAAAAAGAGGGCTCTTGTTTAACTTTTTAACGGCATCCTTTTACATAACTTTCATTTTACGTTGCCTATCGGTGTGCATGATTCCAGCCAAACAAGATTAGTTGCAACAAAAAGGCGAAAAATGTTCAAGAGTAAACAATATTCTCTAGGGATTGACGATCCAACATTTTCATTTTTGTAAAAATTATGAGAACAGCAGCCATTTGTTTTTGATGTGTCGAACTTGTGCCAAAAATTTCTACGTTTTTTCGTTTATATCTTTCGAAATGGTTAAAAATTAAAAAATGTTCGATCGTTGATCTTTAGTAAATGTTACACTAAAGATACGCAGCAAGTTTCACGGTAATCGGTTGGTTAGATTCCGAGATATCTTGCACACCGTTTCTAAAAACCTAGTTTCGAGAAGAACGCGTTTTAAAGTTTCAGAACGTCATTTTTCATATGTACTCTTCACTTACTTTTTTTACTTAAATATAGTGACTCACAGTTCTTACAATTCACAACTAAATTGAATCCAAGTCCCCCAAACATTCGATTCACCAAAAGTGATATTTGAATCACACGATTTACACTTCATAATACTGCTTAAAGTTGTGAACAGTGATAGAAATTCAATTATTCCGTGGATTTATTATCATACCTCAAAATAAGTCGTTTTAGAAACTAAGACCTTTTGTATCTTATTTCTAAGACTTCAAACTACTGTTTAAAACAAGAAAAATCGATTTTTTGAAAATTTCAAATTGTCCTGACTTGCGCTGGCAACTGATTGCGGACCATAACGAGTGACAAAAACCGTACGCATTTCTTTTTGAATTCGTCGATACGATATCACTGGATAGAAACTATTGAGAAGTAATAAATTTATTATTTGTTTCGTTTGGGTTATTACTTAAATATACTTGAAACTGAGAAAATTTTTGATTTACCAATTTTTCCCAATTTTAGCTTTCAACAAGATACAAATAAAAAAGATGCTAAATCTCGATGTTCCTTAATATGAATGATCGGGACAAAACCAAAAGTAGAAATTTATCGTAGATCAACATTATTGTCGGAGAATTTTCGTCGACATTAATCGAAAAAAGGGGGGGGGGGGCTGAGAAGCATTCTAAAGGCACGTGAACTCCATTGAAAAGATGTCACATTGAAAATATCAAGCCTTGAAACGAAAATCATTGAAATAATAAAAGAAAAGTGAACGAAACATATCTCGACGAAGCAACCAGTCACAACCACTCGAATGTGTACGCTGCCATTTATGCTTTAATACGGTCTATTAAGCTCGATAGTTCGCGCCGCGACCTTCCTTTGTACCACGTAATTTAGCGCAAAGAGGGACCAGCGTTCGACGTATTGAGCAAGGAAGCACCATTGACTTCATTTTCGTTTTTTCAATAGGGATCAAATGATTCAAGGTCAAGCGAGACGTAAATATCGCGATTATTTATTTAAAATTACGATGGATCGACAACATTCAGAATCGGAAGATCTACGGATCTAGCAGTGAGAAGACAGCTGCGACATTTAAATTGTATTATTAGCCGGTTGCGAACTGTTTCGAGCGACCAAGGCGTAAGAATAATTCTCTTCGACACGTTTGCTGCCACCGATTTGGTGATCACCGACAACGTTTTCTGTTTCTATAAATATTTCAGAATGATTGAAACAAGGTGAACGTCACTGGCAATGAAAATTGAACTGGATGGTATTAATTAGTAATATTAATAATATAATAATATTAATTAATAATATTAATAATGTTAACCACTTGCGCTGGCAACTGATTGCGGACCATAACGAGTGACCAAAACCGTGC